GGTCGACTACATGGGAGTCCAGCGACATAGCCATTACACTAACTGCTGGTCCCAATACTTCTTTTTAAAAAATAAGTAAGTAAATTCTTTTTTTTTTTTAAAAAAAAGAACATCATAGTTACTTACAATCCCACTGCCTAGTGATAACCATTTTGATTTTGATACTGATCATTCTTCATTCTCTCTTTTTAAAATTTTGCTATAGGGTACATGCTCTCATCAGAGAGAGAGACAGAGAAAGAGAGAGGGAAAGTGAGAAAACACACCCCCCCAGGGGAGATGGCCACACCACAGTCCATTCTCCATCCTCCTCTTGGGAGTTTGGCTATGCATGCACACACACAGCACGAGTTTTTCAAGCCAATGGGTCTGGGACTCAAACCACAAAGTTGCCATGTGATATCCAGTTGCCTTAACTGCCATGCTGCTGGATGGCCCAGATGCTTTTCTTTTTCTTTTTGTTTTAATTTGCCAGAGGGCACGTGTGCTCATCAGAGAGGAAGAAGGGAAAATCACTCCCTAACAAGGGATGGTCACACTGTAATCCCTCTCCATTTCTCCGTCCACAGGATTTGGGACATATATACTTGGCATGTTTTTCAAGCCATGGGGCTCGGGATTTGAACTGTGCAGTCAGTTGTGTGGGATAAGCTACTTTAACCTCTATGCTACAGGGCCAGCCCTAGATGTTTGCTTTTTTTAAAAAAAAGAATTTGTATTAATTTTATTTATTTATTCACTTATTTTAATTTGACCAGAGACAGACAGAGAAAGTGAGAAAGCAAGCCACCAGGTCCAGGACTTGAACCGTGGTCAGCCACGTGGGAGTGTCCAGCGCCTTAGCTACCACATCACCTGCCGGTCCCAGATGTTTGCTTTTTAACACTGATAAACAGCCATGGACATAAACTCCGTGTTACTCTTGTAATCATTTCTGTGTGAAATTAAGAATAATTTTTTAGGGCCGGTCCTATGGCCTGGTGATTAAGGGAGTTGGATCCCACAGGATGAACTGTGCAGTTCGAATCCTGGATCTGGCTGGTACATGTTGGAAAAATGGAAAAGGGACCGAGGTGTGACCACGCCCCACTGGGGGGTGCTTTCTCCCTTTCTTTATCTCTCTGGCAAGTGCACACCCCCTCTGGCAAAATTAAAAGAAAAAGAAAACTTTTCTTTAAAGACAATGGGGGGGGCAGGTAATATAGTTGTTAAGGTGCTGGACACCCACATGGTCCACTGGGGTTTGAGTCCCTGACCCAGCTGCTTGACACTCACACAGGGCACATGTGCCCAAAATCCCAAAAGGAGGTGAAGGGATTATGGCATGGCCATTTCTCCTGGGTGGTGATTTCTCACTTTCTGTCTCTGGTGAGTGCCCTTTAGCAAAAATCTCTCTCAAAAGAAAAAAAAAAGAATTCAGGCAGCAGGGAGGGGGGAGTGGCAGGTGGTATGATTGTTAGGGGCACTGGATTCCTACGTGGCCAACTGTGGCTTGAATCATGGGCCTGGTGGCTTGCTCTCTCGCTTCCTCAGCTTTCCCTCTCACTCACTCTGTCCCTGTGTGGTAAAATTAAATAAATAATAAAATAAATAAAGTTAAATAAAATAATCATTTAAAAAAAAAAGAAAGAAAAGAAAGAAAGAATTTGGGGCCAGCAGGTAGCATGGTAGTTAAAATGATGGACTCCCATTTGGTCGACTATGGTTCAGGTCCCAGACCTGGCAGCTTGCTTTCTCATTTTTCCTCTCTCTGTCTCTCTGGTGAGTGCATGTGCCCTATAGCAAATTTAAAAAAATAATAATAATAAGGGGACAAGCAGATGGCATAATGCTTATGTCACTGGACTCCCATAGTCAACCATGGTTCGAGTCCTGGACCTGGCAGCTTAAAACTCACCCTAAGTGCATGTGCATACCCAAAAGCCCAAGAGGAGACTAGAGGAGAAGGGACTGTGGCATGGTTGTTCCCCCTTGGGGGTGATCTCTCACTTTCTGTCTCTGCCTCTCCAGTGAGCACACCACTATAGCAAAAATCTCTCTTTAAAAAAAAATAATAATAAATTTGAAAGTCTTTTTTTAAAAATAATTATTTTATTTAATTTTATTCATTGTCATTATTTATTTTTTATTTTATTGAAGTTGACCAGAGAGTGACAGAGGGAGAAGGAAAATGAGAATGCAAACTCCCAGGTCTGGGACTTGAATCATAGTCAGCCATGTGGGAGTCCAGCCACCCTAACCAACACACCACCTCCCAGCCCCTAAAAGTCATTTTTTAAAGAAGAAAATAATTGTTCCAAAGAACATAAATTTTTTTTAAGGAATTACTTTATTGAACTTTATTTTATTTACTTATTTATATTCGACCAGAGTGGGACAGAGAGAGAGAGAAAGTGAGAAAGCAAGCTGCCAGGTCCAGGACTCGAACCACACTTGGCCATGTGGGAGTTCAGCGCTCTTAACCACCACACCACCTGCTGGCCCAAGAACATGAGTTTTTGAAAGACTTCATAATATAACAGAGAAGCTGAATGTGACATTTTGAAAGCTTTAGTTTTAAGCTTATTAAACAAATAGTGGGGGACCAGCAGTTAGCATAATGGCTATGTCGCTGGACTCCCATGTAGTCGACCGCAGGTCACGTCCCGGACCCGGTGGCTTAAAACTCACACCGGGTGCGTGTGTGTGCATGCTCAAGATCCCAAAAGGAGAATGGAGGAGAAGGGACTGTGGCATGGCCATCCCCCCTGGGGGGTGATTTCTCACTTTCTGTCTCTCTGTCTCTCTCTGTCTGTCTGGCAAGTGCACGCGCCCTATAGCACAAAAAAAAAAAAAAAAAAAAAAATCCCCAAAAGAGGGGATGTTCTTTCCCGAAAAAAAACTCTCAAAAACAAATAGTGGTAGGCAGTAGAAACTTAATGGCTCTCCTCACTTCCCAGTTTCCCCTGCTTTCTGCTCTTTAGTCTTTAACCTTGTCCTTGTGTAGAGGATAGATGTCTACCCAGGCAGGACCTGATCTCTGCCCTCACGATTTGGGTTCATGTGGCCATCACCTAACTGCCTCCCCCTCGATGACACATTCCCACCCCCTGCCTCATTTCCGTCCCAGTTGCCTGTGTCCCTGGAGTGCTATACGGGGCCTCCTGAAGACAGCCTGACCCTCCTTCAGCTCTACTTCCGGGCCCTGGTTACTGGTGCTCTCCGTTCACATTGGTGCCCCGTGCTCTATGCTGTGGCTGTGGCTCACGTCAACAGCTTCATCTTCTCCCAGGACCCAAAGAGTTCAGTGAGTTACATCCCCACTTCTAGAGGGAGGAAGGGAACTAGCGATTGCGCTGCCTCTCGGCCAGCTGGGAAGAAATGAGGGTTTGGCAAGGCCAGTGGTGGGTACCAGTGGCTGGCTCCGTGCTGCCTCTCCCTGTTCTGCTTCTAGGACGAGGTAAAGGCTGCCCGCAAGAGTATGCTGCAGAAAACTTGGCTGCTGACAGATGAGGTAGGGTTGGGTCATATTCTAGAGTGTGGGTGATTAGGGGGTCTTAGGGAACGAAGACCCCAACAGGGTCTCACTACCTACTTCATCCGATTTCTTTCCTCTCTGCAGGGTCTCCGGCAGCACCTCATCCACTATAAGCTTCCCAATTCCAACCTCCCAGAAGGCTTTGAGCTCTATTCCCAGTTACCCTCTCTACGTCAGCAGTACCTTCAGAAACTGACCTCAGGGCTGCTCCAAAATGAGGTATCAGAGACCTAGAATAGTCCTTACAGATGAAGAGATGGATCCACTCTCCTAGAGGTCCCTAGTGGATGCCTAGACAGACAGAAATGCATCATGTCCTAAGGGCGGGCAAGAGAGAGCAGCAAAGACTTGCCTTCCTGCGACCAGGCTATTTGAGTATTTTTGATGCAGAATGAGCCCTGCATTTCATCCTGATATCTGGAACTGATCTGGGGCTTCTCAGGGCCTGGGTGGAAAGTGAAACATGACTTAGCTTCTTGGTCCCTTTAGGGACAGGACACACCACCTCTTGTCAGCTGCCTTTGCCTCCCACCCCAGGCCGGGATATAGGAATGCTATAGCAGTACATTAAAATAAAGCATTTTTTAATCTCCTGAGAATCTGATTTGGACCGATGTCAGTTGCGTTAGTTCAAAGTTGGTATGGAGGGGGCATGTTATCCCGGGGGAGGAGCAGAACTACCGTGAGTGAGATGGAAGAAGAAGTATGAGTGGGAGGTGAAAACTGAATCCACATCTGGGGAAAAGAATGTGGGTCCTAGTTTCTTTGTGGAGCCAGGCTAGGGCAATGCTCTTAGGAATGGGGATACTTCTGGAAGACCTCTCAGTGGTCCGGGAGAAATATAGGTGTCCTTAATGAAGTCAGCAGCTAGTCTCTGTGTGGTCTCCTATCTCCATCAACTCCTCTGGCAAGACATGATCGGTGCAGTAGCTGCCCTACACCATTTCTATTGGGGACTTCCTTGGCAGACAAGGGCTGTAGGGGAGCAGATCAAAGCATAAAGTGTGGTTCATCTCTATTTTGGTAGAGTTTCTAGATAATTCTTTTGTCTTATTCTAACACTTAGGCTTTCTTGCCCTGGTTGTGTGGGACTATTGTATTTGCAGGTCATCAGGTGAGTGCAGTGTGCCAAGAATGGCCCTGTCATTAGGTAGGAAGAACCCACTCCTGGAAAATGGCTGCTGAATGCAGAATTACCTAGTAGGTTTTATTTAAGCAACTACAATATCTACAAATAACAATGGTTTACAAACTTAAGTGACAAAAACTACTTGAAGACTGCATCAAAAGAGATTGCTGGGGAACCAGCAGTTAGTGTAATGGCTATGTCGCTGGCCTCCCACGTAGTCGACCGCGGTTCGTGTCCTGGACCCGGTGGCTTAAAACTCACACCGGGCGTGGGTGCGTGCGTGCCCAAGCTCCCAAGAGGAGAATGGAGGAGAAGGGATTACGGCGTGACCATCCCCCGCTGGGGGGTGATTTCTCACTTTCTGTCTCTCTGTCTCTCTCTGTCTGTCTGGCAAGCGCACGCGCCCTACAGTGAAAATCTCTCAAAAAAAAAAAAGAGATTGCTGGGGCTGGCTCCTATAGCACAGCAGCTAAGCTGAGGAAGCTGGATCCCACATGGCCAACCAAGATTTGAGTCCCTGCCCTGGATGCTTACAAGCTGGTCACGCACCCTGACAGGATAGAGAATTAGAGGAAAAAGGATTTTGGTGTAACCAGGCCTGTTAGCATAATGGCTATGTCGCTGGCCTCCCACGTAGTCGACCGCGGTTCGTGTCCTGGACCCGGTGGCTTAAAACTCACACCGGGCGTGGGTGCGTGCGTGCCCAAGCTCCCAAGAGGAGAATGGAGGAGAAGGGATTACGGCGTGACCATCCCCCGCTGGGGGGTGATTTCTCACTTTCTGTCTCTCTGTCTCTCTCTGTCTGTCTGGCAAGCGCACGCGCCCTACAGTGAAAATCTCTCAAAAAAAAAAAAGAGATTGCTGGGGCTGGCTCCTATAGCACAGCAGCTAAGCTGAGGAAGCTGGATCCCACATGGCCAACCAAGATTTGAGTCCCTGCCCTGGATGCTTACAAGCTGGTCACGCACCCTGACAGGATAGAGAATTAGAGGAAAAAGGATTTTGGTGTAACCAGGCCTGTTAGCATAATGGCTATGTCGCTGGCCTCCCACGTAGTCGACCGCGGTTCGTGTCCTGGACCCGGTGGCTTAAAACTCACACCGGGCGTGGGTGCGTGCGTGCCCAAGCTCCCAAGAGGAGAATGGAGGAGAAGGGATTACGGCGTGACCATCCCCCGCTGGGGGGTGATTTCTCACTTTCTGTCTCTCTGTCTCTCTCTGTCTGTCTGGCAAGCGCACGCGCCCTACAGTGAAAATCTCTCAAAAAAAAAAAAAGAATTTTCAAGTTGAACATAAAAAAAAAAAAAGAGATTGCTGGGGCTGGCTCCTATAGCACAGCAGCTAAGCTGAGGAAGCTGGATCCCACATGGCCAACCAAGATTTGAGTCCCTGCCCTGGATGCTTACAAGCTGGTCACGCACCCTGACAGGATAGAGAATTAGAGGAAAAAGGATTTTGGTGTAACCAGGCCTGGTTGGGGGGCTCTCTCTCTCTCTCTCTCTCTCTTCTCTCTCACAAGCATACACCCTCTAGTATAAAACAACAAACCAATTGCTAGGCCCTAATACCAGACTCTGATTCAGTAGGTCTGGATTTTTTCTTTTTAAGAGCAAGAGAGATCTTTGCTCTAGGGCATGTACATTTGCCGGACAGACACAGAGAGATAGACAAAAAATAATAAAGCACCCTCCCCCCTCGGGGGGGGATGGCCATGCTGCAATCCCTTCTCCATTTTCCTCTCAGGATTTTGGGTGTGTATGCACATGCAACCGGCATGAGATTCAAGCCACCAAGTCCGAGACTCAAACCGTGATTGACTGTGGGAGCCCAGTGACATAACCGCACGCCATCTGCTGGTCCCAGAATTTACATTTCTTTTTTTTTTTTTTTTTTTTTGTTCAACTTGAAAATTTTTTTTTTTTTTTTTTTTTTTCCATCATGAAATATTTCCCAGACCGGTTCAGTTGAGAATACTATACATGTCATCATCAACAGGTAATAAACCATATCTATTTCTCATTAACATCCTGCCTCTCTATTGTTCACTGCTGTCTTTATCCTCTTCTCTCTCCTTTTTTTTTTTTATACTTTGTTTTTTATTATAAATTTTTTTTTTCTCATCCCAACACACATATGAATTTTCCATCCAAAATACACTGTGCATTGGCTCAATCAAGCACATCAACATATATGTTCTCAGCAAATGATTTCCCAATTTTTGTGTCCTGCATACCTTGCCTTTTGTTTTGCCATCCTAGGTTCCCCATCCCCACCCTCTGCCATGTCCCATCTTCCTCCTCCATTGTCCCTGACATTCATGATTGCCCTCAATGCCTTCCGCCCCCCCCATTCAATTGTTCTACCAATGAACTCAATTAGTCTAAGTATATCCACTAGCTAGCACAGCTGACATATCCTTACACATGTATCCAAATCTGATCCTAGGCATAAACCCCAGGGAGTAGAATGAACATATTATAAAGTAGACCCCAGTTGTGTCCATACAACTCTCTTCAGTCATCAAATGTGCATTTTTTTTTCCTCCTGCTTATTACTTTTTTTATATTAAATTATATTGCCTAACACTCATTCCCTGAGTATCATCACAACACACCAAGTGTAGTTTCCAGAATTTACATTTCTAACAAATTCCCAGGTGATACTGAAGCTGCTGTTCAGGACTAGACACGATTTGAGAATCTGCTGAAGTAGGTCTGTGACTTCATAGTGAGCTGTCTAGAGTGGCCAGGGGCATGGGTACCAGAGTATTTACAAAATCACCCATGTTGGGACTGGCAGGTGGTGTGGTGATTTGAGTGCTAGACTCCCACATGGCTGAACACAATTTGAGTCCTGGACCTGGCAGCTTGCTTTCTTGCTTTCCTTGTCTCTCTCTCTCTCTCTCTGTCTCTCACTGGTCAAACAAAAACGAATAATAGTGATAATAAATCATTTTTTAAAACACTCATGTCTACAGCTACTACCAAATACCTAATTACTATAACTTTTTATCCCCAAGTGTTTTACATCAAACACAGGGCTCAGCCTTTATTTATTTATTTATTTATTTATTTATGTATTAGAGCTTGTCATAGGACACATGTGCTCGCCGGAGAGAGATGAAACAGAAAGCAAGAAATCACCTCCCAGGAAGGATGGCCACATTGCAATCCCTTCTCCATTCTCCTCTTGGGATTCTGGGCATGCCCGCACTAGTGCCTGGCATGAGTTTCAAGCCTCCCGGTCTGGGACTTGAACCGCTATCAGTCATGTCGTAGTCCAGAGATGCACCCATTATGCCATCTGCTGGTCCCAGGCTCCAGCCTGTAACGTTAGCATTTTGAATAAAGGATTCAGGACCCAAAGCACAGTACCACCTGAAGGTGGAGTGGCCCTCCCGGCTAAAATGTGCCTCGTGGTTTACCCTTCATAGGCTGTACAAGGGGTGGGAAAGCTGTCTCTGCAGTGGGGGCTTGCCCTCCATCATCCATTGATGGGATGAAAGTAATAACACCTGTGTCCGCTGACATCTGGTTCAGTCTTTTTTTAATTTTTTTGAAAGATTTGTTGCTATAGGGTTCATGCACTAGAGAGATAGCGGGACAGAAAGTGAGAACCCCCCCACAGGAGGGATGGTCACGCCGCAATCCTTTCTCCTCCATTCTCCTCTTGGGATCCTGGGTGCACAAGCACATGCACCCAGTGTGAGGTTTACGCCAGCAGGTCTGGGACTCGAACCGCATCAGCTAGGTGAGAATCTAGCGACGTAACCATTACGCCATCTGCTGGTTCCAACATCTGACCCAGTCTTTTATCCCTCACAGTAAGAAGCTGTGTGTAGAGTTCACACAACAACAGGACTGTATGAGGCGAACACGGAGATCCACACTGCTGAAGGTGGCGGGGAGGTTCAGCCCTGCAGACACAAAGGCACTGAAAGACACAAATGATGCCTTACTTGGGTGCCTGCACACCACACCGCTCCTATCCTGAGAAACCAGAAGCCACACCGCACACACCGCAGCAGGGTGCTTGGGGTGTGGTTTGCCGCTTCTCAAGCCCCTGCCTCAAAAGGGTAGGGCACCTCCTCCCTCGTCTAGACCCCACCCTTGCCCGGGGCAGCCAGCGGCAGACCAGTTGGCCGGACACTGATTGCCCCTGGGAACGAGCTCTGCAAGGCTCCTCCCGGAAGCCTGGAGAACTCGCGGTCCATACGCCCCGCCCTCTCCTCCTGAAGCCTCCCGGGGTCTGAAGAAGGCGTGGCCAGGCTGGCTTTAAGTCCTGGGGGTGCCTCGCGGCCGTCTGAACACTCTCGTAAGCAGTGGCCAGAACCTCGGTGGCCGGCTCTTCAGCATCAACCTCAGCTGGGCGCACCGAACCGGCAATGCGCCCCTCCGGTCAGCTGCTGCTGTGGCTCCGGGCCGCGGGTAAGCCCCGTCCTGCGATTAGGGAACCGTAAGGCCAGATGCAC